TTTATAAAATGGAGTACTACTCAGCCAAAAAAATGAGACATTAGAGACATTTATAGCTAAATGGATGCACCTTGAGGCAATACTCAAGGTATTTACTGTGTAAATACCCAATAGGTTCTCTAGTATGAGAAACTAAAAGTGTAAATAAGGACTAAAAGATATAATAGATAACGTGAATAGGAAGAAAAGGGACAAAGGGGAAAGGGAAGTGAGAGGGGAAGGGGAAAGGAAAGAAGGGAATGGAATTAATATGAGAAAATGAAAAAATGGAAGCAAAGTTTTTGTAAATAAGGAGGGATAGAAAGACTGAAGGGAGGGCAGGGGAATGGGGAAAAAATAAGAACCAAGAGAGATTACGTAAAGGTGCAAATTTCCAATGATGAATGTCATTGTATTGTATACCTAAAATCTACCAATAAAATTAATTTTTAAAAAGTTATATATATAAAAAGAAATACTTAAACACAATCCTTGTTGAAAATTTACAAAATATATAAAGAATACAAATAGATGAAAAATTTTCTAAGATCCAGACACTACAAACTAGAGGATGTATAGTTGTCTAGTGCCCAAATTGGACTATGCTAATAGCCTGCTTTTTGCAAAAATATACAATCAAACCAGATCAAATTCAGTCGTTAAGTTCAATGATGACCTTATGGGGAAATGTGATTCGGTTCTCGAACAATTTGGTTTTCAACCAGAATCATGGAAAGAATTAAGTTTGTGGACCAAGGTACTACTATCTTTGTAAAATTTCTCATGTCATTAGACACTGTTCTGTATAATGTTGTAATGATTATCAAATATTTTCCCTTTGGAATATACAATTATTATCTACCTGATTACATGGCTAAATGTTTAGGGCACCCTCCTAACTTTTGCTGTTATAACAAATATTGTAATGAATATTTTACAAATCAACATTTGTCTCAGTCTAAGATGACATTTTAGAATTTATGCTAAGGAATTTCCATGTCAAAAAAAGGTTGCATAGTTTGAGACTTTTGATTTAAATTCTCAGATTGCCTTAAAAGGTTGTATTAATTACACCTTCACATTAGAGTGTAATTGTTTTCCTGCTTGCCATAAACATTGTCCTTTTAATTTGCCAACACGATAGTTTTGCATTAACCTTTTAATTTTCATTTCTTTCCTTATTGAATTAATTATTTGGGGGGAGGTGCTGGGAATCCAGCACTGAGCTACATCCCCAGCCCCCTGAAGTTGATCTTTCCTGTGTTGATCAAGTTAATAAATGCCAAAATTAGGATATTGACTAAAAGTGCATAAAGCCTGAATGGAGCCATCTTCATAGACCACAGGAGGGAAGGACTTTAAGATATGTTTTGCCAAACTCTCTATCCTGGCTGCTGGGAGGGAAGGGTTTGGATGCTGTGTGAAGTTGTACTGGGGAGTGGGAAAGTGATGTAAGTAGTTACTTCTTAGATTCTTAACATTTTTTTTCTCACATAGGTTCTTAAAGGTGGACAGGAAGCACCCACGAAACCTAAAGGTCGTCCCAAGAAGAACTCCATCCCTACATCAGAAGAGATTGAAGCTGAAGAGAAGATGCACAGCCAGGCCCAGAGCCAGGAGAGCCTGGAGCCCTCACAGGGACAGGAAGAGCCAGGAGATGCGCAGGAACTAAAAGCATGTGACCTCCCCTTGGAGGTGGCAGAGCCGCCAGGCCAGCCCCAGGAGCTGCCAGGAGCCTCTTCCAAACCCCTGCCATTAAGCTAAAATAAAACTCTTTGGGGGGAAGGGGAGACAGGGAAGAAGGGAAAAGTGAAGGCAGGGAGACTAGGGAGAGAAACACTTCTAACAGCCCGGCCAACTGAGGGAGAAGAGATCCACTTTCCTCCTTCCCTCCCACAGTTCTCTGCACCTTCATCGCAAGCATCTGATGAAGACTTGCTTGTCTTAGGCCTTCCTCTTTCTGGAAGGCTGTGTAAGCCATAGATGCCCTTGATTGAGAGAGAGACAGTGCCTTTGAGCTCCTGTCCCTGAGAGGGTGAAGGCTGTTGGGATGGGTAGACACATCCCACCAGCCTGCAATGGAGGGTATCGCCTACCGCCTACCCGCTCCCTACCCCTGGGCAGCCAGTCATCAAGCAGAGAGATGGAGGCGCTTGGACAGCCCACCCAGGCTTCTTGCTGACTCAGTACTTATTTCTGTAGGCTTAATGTTTTGGGGGTTTTTTTTGGGGGGTGGAGTTGGAGGAAGGGAGTTGTGAGTTCTTAGAAATGTTTCTGGATCATGTTTGTTTGGAAACATGTGTGCCTTTGTATCCATTATCAGATGGTCAGGTGACCAGGAACTGATAAGCCTTGTTTTTCTTTCTTCTTTAAGTTGCCTTCCCTGAAGCTGCCAATGCAGAAATGTTAAAATAACTTTTATTTTTTAATTAAAAATAAATCTTTCAAAAGGTTTGAGTGTTCCATTTTTTCTGGGGAATGTATCCAACCCTCTTGAATGTGTCCTATGGGAAGAAACCAGAAAGACAGCCAGGCTCCCTGGGACTTCCTTTCCCCATCTGCAAAACAAAAGACTGGGACAGTTCACTGGAGTCCCCTGTGTTGAGACTTAGTGTTGAGACCCCAGGGTGAGGAAGGAGCAGTGCAGCTGGGCTCTACCCACCACAGCAGCTGCTCTACATTTTGAGTTTCCAACTCTAAAAATACTTTTTCAAAGAGGTAATATATTTATATGCTCTCAAAGTCAAAACTGCATGAAAAGAAGTCATACTTCTGTACTGCCTTCTCACCCTATGTCTTACAGGTAATCATTTTTACTGGTCCCTTATTCATCCTTCCAGTTCTTTATGAAATATCCATTTGGATGGATGATGGGCTCTGGTGCTTTCTACAGAAGAAGATTTGAGAACAACTTGGCTACATCTGCTCAGTAATTTTAAATTTAAAAGTAATGTCCCAGACTGGGAATGTAGCTCAGTGCTAGAGTGTGTGCTTAGCACATGTGAGGCCCTGGGTTCCATCTTGAGCACTGCAAAAAGAACAAGAAAAGGAAAAAAATGGGTAAAACAATATTCCACTTTTAATAACGTCAGGAAAAATGTAAGCATGAGAATTTCCAAAGGGAAAACTCTAGCTCCTTCCTACCTCCCTTTTTGTGCATTTGCTCTGATGCCTGATTTCCCAGGGGTCACCTTTAAGGTTGTTTCTGTGATGCTATGCAGGATAGAATGCCCAATTAGTGGATGGCCAGTCATTCATTATACAGTCCTTCTGCCAAGTTGCAAGCATGGGGAATACCAACCAGTTTTAACAGGGGCCCCAACTAAGAACCAGAACTTGTTACTAGTTCTGTGAAACAATCATATAATTCATTTCAGAGTTAAGCAGGAAATATCTGCATGTTTTCAATCATCTGGCTGCCTACTTCTTCTCATTAATGTGGACAATCAAAAAAGGACTGGAGTTTTGACATTGCCCAGGCGGTGCCTCTGTCCCCTTTGCTATTGAGACCAACAAAGAGAAAGCAGTCTTTCTCTGAATGCTTGTGAATAGACAAAGGAGTTAAGAACTTGGACTCTGAGAACCAGTTTGCACAGACCACACCTAGCTGCCTGTGCAAGGTTGTTTATTCTAACTGTGCAGAAAGCTCTCTCCCTCTCCTCCAGCCTACCCCAAAGTACGATTTCATGGCCCGCCGCCTACCAGGTGGTGTCACAATGGCCAGGGTAAGCAGTTGGCTGCGTGCCAGGTTAGTCTCGTGCTCTCCTGTTCATGCTGCCCCAGAGAGGAGGCGTTCTATTGGGATGCTGGCTTCCTATGATGAGTGTTGGTCTTTTTCCCTGGGCTCTCATGTTGTCCTTTTCTGTGGTGTCCGAAAGCGACTGTCACTGAACAGACCCATGTGTACATGCACACTTATTAGTGTAGCTGAGTGCTGGGTTCCAGGTTCTTGACATCCAGCTTTTATTCTGTGGCCCCTCCCTTTGGGTTTGTTTCTTGTCCCTAAGGGTTGAAGTTACTTTACTGGTGAATTTAAGACCTCGGATTATCTTTCCTTGTGTTTTGTAAGGTCCAGCCTAAGGTTACCTCTATTTACAAGCCCTCAGTTTATCCTCCAGCCTCAGGCTGCATGGCTTTGCCCAGTGACTCAAAGAGGGACCAGGTTGGGTCTTAAAAAATATTTTTTTTGGCAGTTCTTGGAGTGAACCCAGAACCTTGCACAAGCTAGGTGACAGCTCTACCACTGAGCTGCATCCTCAGGCATATATATTTTAAACTGACAAATAGAAATCTTACATATTTATAGTGTCTTGAAATGTCTTCACATGTCTTAAAATGTGCATACATAATGGAATGGCTTTATCAGACAAATTAACTTATGCATCATATACTTAACCATTTTTTTGTGGTAAGAACACTCAGAATCTACTCTTAGCAATTTTTAAGTATATATATATTATATATATATTATATATATGTACGTATCTTTAAACTATAATTCCCTTGTGTGCAATGGATCTCTTTTTTTTTATTATTCTTTTATCGGTACATTGTAGGTATACAACACAATTACATTTCTCATTGGGAATTGTACCTTTACATAATGCATCTTGGTTCTTATTTTTTCCCCCATTCCTAGCCCTCCCTTCACCCCCTCCACCCTTCCCTATTTACAAAGACTTTATTTCCATTTTTTCCATTTCTTATCATTTTTCCTTTCCCTTCTTTCCTTTCCCCTGTTGATCTCTTGAGCATATTCCTCTTTCGAATCTAAATTTTGTGTCCTTCAACTGACATCTCTATCCTTGTCTGGCAATCTATACACTCCCACCGCTGGGCTCATCACAGCCTCTGGTAACAACATTCTGCACTCTACTTCTGGGCGGTCTACTCTTTTAGATTCCACATGAGCCAGAACTTATGGTATTTGTCTTTCTGTGACTATCTTATTCCACGTAATGTCCTTCAGGTTCATCCATGGTGTTAGATGACAGGATTTTGTTCTTTTCTATGGCTGAACACTATTCCATTGAGTCTATGTAGCACATTTTCTTATGCATCATTTGTGGACAGTTAGATTGAATCCATATCTTGGCTATTGTGGATAATGCTTCAATGAACAGGGAATGCTGATGTCTTTTTGATAGACTGATTTCATGTCCTCTGAACATATCCTGGTAGTGGGATTGCTGGATCATATGAGAAGTTCTGCTTTCAATTTTCTAAAGAAAGGGCTGGACCTCCTGCACGTATGCTCATTGCTGGCTGTGCCTGGTTGTGGAAACCATGCCAGGCTTTCCCTTAAGCTCCATCTTTCCCATATGTCTCTAGTTCCCAAGACCTATAATCTGTGTCTAGAAGCCAGCTTCACAAGCTTTTCTGACATGTGACTGGGAGGTTGTTCTCAATGGCATTGGCAATAGGGTATCCAATGGTCTCCTGCATGGACAGCTCTCCCTTTTCCCTCACTGTCTTTCTTGGGGGCCACTTGACTTTCATTCTCCCGTGGGCACCTACTTCTGTAGGACTTATGTCCCTTCTCTGGGTTGCCAGATAGTGATCTCTGAGAGTTAAGGGTTTTACTTTGAGGATCTGGTCACTGGCTGATTCTTGAAGTTTTCTAGAGAAAGGGAGACAACTGATTCTAGTCCTCTAGAATCTATATTTCAAGAAGCTGATGCATAGAAGCCTTGGCCTCCTCTCTTTCGGAAGGTATCTGCTTTAGGAGACTTGGAGAAAAAACACTGTACACATAATTTGCCCTCAGGCTGCGAAACATATGGTTCTTCTACTTTTTAAAAATTAATATCATTGGTACATTTTAGGTATACACTATAATGACATTCATCACTGAAAATTTGCACCTTTGCATAATCTCTCTTGGTTCTTAATTTTTCCCCAATCCCCTGCCCTCTCTTCAACCCCTCCGTCCCTCCCTATTTACAAAGATTTTGTTTCCATTTTTTCATTTTCTTATATTAATTCCATTCCCTTCTTTTCTTTCCCCTACCCCTCCCACTTCCCCTTCCCCTTTGTACCTTTTCTTCCTATTTCACGCTATCTATTATACCTTTTAGTCTTTATTTATACTTTCAGTTTCTCACACCAGAGAAACTATGTGGTATTTACACATGTGTGTACTGTTTATTTCACTTAAGAGTATCGCCCCAATGTGCATCCATTGAGCTATAAATGTCTC